TTCTAGAAGCATATTGTGCAATGTGAGCAAGGGAAAAACAGGAGATGGAGCCATAGGCGTTGTTCTTGTAGGTGGAGGTTAGCACATGGCATCTGCTCCTTTGTGCAGACTTCCTCTTAGGAGTTTACACAGGAGATACTCTAGATCAGCTTAAATGCAGTAACTTAACTGGAAGGAAAAACTAGAAGGTAGAGGAAGACACTGGTCTGTCTTTAACCAAGTTAGTTGAATCTGTGGAAGACTGTTTTCCCTAGACTTTACCTTTCACTCCTTCTTCTATATCAAGTCACTACCCTTGTCTCCCTTTATATGTTACTCTTCTCTCAATTTGCAATAGACACCTGTGGCTTTTACCTGGAAAGCATTGAAATCCTGCTGAGGGAAAGGAAGAATCAGTGTGCAGCCCCTTGGCTGCCCAGCTTTCCAGCATGCAGTACGTGGTTAAGCAGCTAACTCACATCATGTGCTGGCTGGGTGAGCTCATGTGTTAGCAAAGTGTGATGGCTGAAAAAATGCTCTGCTGTAGGCTGCATTATGGACTACATTAGACTAGATTGACAAAGGAGATCTATTTTTGATATTGCAGTGCCAGCGTTTGCACACGTTGTTCCATCTCCTTACTGAATGCATTGAAAGAACAATCCAGCTAAGAATTAAATTTTTTTTCAGGAATTGGGGTATTAAATAGAAGCAGTCAAGGCTATTCACAAGAAATATTGAGAAAAGGGCTGGGATTTTAAGTCCTTCTCCTCTCCAGGATTTTGAAGCCAAATGTCATCTCTTGAAATTGATTCTTTCTTTTTTTCTCTGCCTCATAGACTTGCATATGTAACAGTAGTCCCATTTATCTGTTAGTCTTATTACATGACTAGAAAACTCAAAGTTATATTTTTCTGCTGCATCATCTGCCAAAATGATGTCTCTCTAGGCAGTAAAATATTCTGGACTAGGGCTTTTGGTCTCTCCAGTTGAAGTTTTTACTGTGAAGAAACCCAGTATTTTATGTTGGACATTAGGAAGAAAGGGTGGCATTGGAACAGGCTGCCCAGGGAGGTGGTGGAGTCACAGTCCCTGTGGGTGTTTAAGGGAGGACTGGATTGCAGTTGGTGCCATGATACAGTTGACAAGGTGGTGTTAGGTCATAGGTTGGACTTGATGATCTCCAAGGTCTTTTCCAACCTAGCTGTCTTTGGGATTCTGCTGCTGTTACTGATGATACTGCTAATGGGTTAAGGACTCACTATTTTTGACTTAAGTCACAGCTATTAAGTCAATACACAGAAGTGCTGCATCATTTAGGAGTGGCAAGCTAAACCCTTTAGACTGGCTGTCTGGTGGTAACAGCTTTCTTGGGATGTTTCAGCCCTTGGAGTGGTGAATCATTTTAGACCTGTGCCCCTATCCTCAACAAGTGCTCAAAACTACTGAGAAAAAGTGGATGAGAGGCATCACCACCTCCTCAAAATGCTTGTATATATCTTGTATAAATCTCGTATATATGTTTGTATAACATTGGCCAGATGAAAGCAAGAAAAGAAGCCACATTACTTCTGAATCTTCTGGCGTGGATGATATAAGCAGAGCTTGTCCATGTTAATTGTTTGGTAGCTCTGCTTATCCTCAGCAGAATACATTTAGGGCATTTAAGAACTTCAGAGATATAGTAATTTGCTTTTCTTTGTTACTTGAACAGGAACCCCACATTGGAGGAGAAGGCATGAAGGGAGCTGGACTATCACTTGATCAGTTGAAACTTCTGCAGAGATTTGATCCATCTGCTGTGACATTGCAAGGAGTGAATATTAATTCTTTGCAAGATTCCAGAGAAGATGACCTGATTTCATTGGCAAATAAGGACTGTATAGGATTTTTCATTGCAAAATTTATTAAATCGAACAGTAAATAAGGATTTGGGAATGCAACCTGAAAAAAATACCTCAGTGAGTCTAAGAACAGTTCAGACGTGAAGTGCCTTTCTTCCTGCTGCAATGTTACCAAGCCAACAGGCTGACGGCAGGGTTGCTATGGCAGCACTAAAATCTGCCAGCTGTTCTGATGGGAAAGAGCCACAGGTTGCAGAAGAAAAGTCATGGCTGGGGGAAGGGCAGTGTCATTTGTAAGTCTCCCTCTGCTTTTGTATTTACAGCGGGTCAGTGCCTGAATGACAGTTATGTTCACTCATACTGCTGTCTGCTCTGCTTTCCCCTTATCTGGTGCAGCAAGTGTAGGAAGGGGATGTAAGCTACTTTACGAAATGCAAACATAAATAGAATAGACAAGAACTATTACAATGGATTTTGGAAAGGGTATTTTCTGTGGAGGTTTACCCATACTCAGTTTCCTTAAACAGTGCTTCTCAAAAGACTGCAACATTTTGCAAAGAACTGTTTTATAAATTGATACTTAGAACCTCATTTCTCTTTTATTTTAATACAAGCAAGATTCTCTGTACACATAGTATATACACAAAATACGATTAGGCTTTGTAGCATGTCTTTTATAGCAGCATGAATATATTAAACCATCTCACTCTGGGAATGTAAATAAATATTGTTTCAACATCAAACTTCCCATGCATAAACTGTATTGGTTCTGAAATAGCCTATTGGACTGGCTGACAAGTGACAGTTTTAAAATCAAACATTTGTAACAGAAGGGGCTACAGTTATGATTAATATATCAAAAGACAGAAAACAGTGCATAATACCATCTGAAATGTTGCAAATCACCTTTCAAACAACTAAGGATATTAACTCTTTATTGTTTAGAAAGCATCACCAGCTAAAATCAAATGAAAATTGAAACTGGGAAAGCATGCTAATGAAAACTGCCTTAGTACACTGCTCAAAGTTTAAATAATCTAAATTTCTTAAAGATGTTAGATGCATTTGAAAAAATTCTTCTTCAGTTCCAGTTTCAACAGTATCCTCAGTCCTGCTGGAACTGACAATAGCACTAAAATTAGAGGGAAAGTTGAGGACAATGGAAAAACAGAAACTGACCATCTGTGTATGTTTGATGTTTTCCTCTCACTCATCAATTTCCAGTTCTAAAAAGCATTTTCTGAAAAATGTCTGTCTTTTCACACATAACTTTGGTTGGATTAAGAAGAACAATAGTTCTTTTATCGTTTGTCCATCTATGTCAGAAGTGCTTTTTGTATTTGCTCGCAATCAAAACAAATCTATAAAATCCCTTTTCTTGGTAGTCTGGTTTGTTTACTTATATTTTCCATAAATGTTTCAATACTGTATGTTTTCTAATGCTCTTGAATAAAAACCAAATGTTTCTTCTGTCCTGCCAAGGTTGTCTGGTACTTCCTCTGTAAGGCCTATCCTAGCAGGATAGGAAAATGGAATTCTTGTCTAGTACTTCTCTACTTCTCTTGGTCATTCCTTGCCATTAAACACAACATGTCTAAAGAAGATTTAAAGTAATTTTGTTTCATCAGTAGTTGGTGAGATATCCTATTTAGAGTCATGAAAGTTCATGCTATAATCTTTCTAGTCTAAATATGGTGAAAATAATTACCTGGGAACAAAAGGGATTAATCATTTATTGTAAGAATGTGTTGAAATCTTTAACTCAGTGCTAGTAAAAAAGCATTTTCTTTTTTGCAGGATAAAGAAGTTTTGTAAACATTAATCAGCACACATAAACTATATACTGAAGTCTGTGTATTCATATAAAGTAAGGAACTTTACCTCCAGTTTCAGTAGCAGGATTTGTGCAATGCTGAATTTGAAACAACTAGAATTGCTGAATTTTTAGTGGAATATTTGTTGACATTTCCCCCACTTTCTTTAGTTTTGGATGATAGGCTTTAACTAACTTGTAGTTAATTCCAGTGTAAGTGCAGAGCAGACCTGAAGAAAATTACTGATACATGAACTTCAGTTATTAGGGTTGTTTCTGCCAAATTCGACTGCTAGCCTTAGGAGAGCACTCAGCAGATTGAAGGGCTTGGCCTCAGCTGTTTCCCCAAGGGCCCTGTAGGTAATGGGGCAGTGACCTCCATCAGCCAGGTCAGAACAGAAAATCAATTAAGATGCTCCAACCCTTGAAGGAGCCAGCATCCTTTTTCTACAGGTATGGCTAAGTTACATAACTAAAGTTGGATGGATGCCCTTTTTCTTCCTATCCAATCTTACCATGACTTTATTTAGAAGTGGTAGGAATGCTTTCTCATTGACACAATTCTGATAGATGGTGTATATATGTTATATATTTTTTAAACATATGATTACTTTCCTGATAATCTTTACATACTGAATCATTGTGTTTCACCAGTTGATGCTGAAGCACAATGGAATATATTTATATACTTTTAATATATATATGAGATATTTATATATTAAATTTAAAAAGTTTTTGTCATTGTAATGAAAGATTAAACGTACAAAATAGATTAGGCATGCAATCAGATCCTGTCGTTAAGAAAGTCTGAAAAGTAGTTTTCTCTATTTGCAGAAATAGTGATTAGTAATAATGCCAAATCTAAATATCTATCTTGGTCAGTATAAAGATACTAAAATAGGCAGCCTCATATATTATGAAATTATGATACAGCTTTTTCTTGTTTCATTCTTGGTCACGGAATGGACCAATTTTTTGGATCACAGGATTTCATATGCTTTTTAAGGAATGGGCTGGTGAAGGTGATCAATCAAGGAATGACTTTAGAGTGGGTAGTTTAAAATATAAAGAACTTTGGTTTTGTGTTTGATTGTTCATGAATAAAAAGTTTAAGTGAAAATCCAATTTTGTACTCCTAGAATTCATTGCAGAGTAGGTATGCATGATAGATAAAAGTGGCAAGAATAAAGAACTGAGAATATGGATGAGTTAGAAGAACCTGCTTAATCTCTATTATATCTGATATAAACCTTTTCTGGGGCTGCGTAGGAATACGTTTCTAGGGTGGTAAGTTATAAAAAGAAACTGTCTATAAAACTACTGTAAGCTCATATGTAATAGTTTGTTATATAAAAGTGGGGAAATAAATTACAGACAAATTGCCAAGCAATAAAATTGATTGAGTAACATTTGATTAAAAACATTCACAGTAAAAATGGCACCCACATACTTTACAGGTGATAGAAGAACTAAGATTTTGGTGAAAGATCTGCAATAAAGTAATAAATATAAGTAAATGTACACCAGAAATGTTATATTACACTCTGAAAAATGATTTTTCTGTTTAGACTTTGTAATCAAATTTTTTGCAATGTCCTTGATTTTTATGGATGGACTAGAATTAAAGTCGAAAACATTTGGAAAACAGCTTTCAGCCTGAAGTTTTAAAGCAATCAGAGGTCAAATGTAACCACAAATCAAAATAAATTTTGAAGAGGCTTTAGTAACTAACAAACACAGGAGGTGGTGTACACCAGCTCTTTTCCTTTGAACAGACATTGATTAAAAGCAGTCAGACCACTCATTCCATTCCAGCTGAGGGAACGATAATGGACCCCATTAAAACCTTTTCCAGGTGTCACAGAACGTGAGCATGACTTGACAAAACAACAGAGCTTAAAAATGATAATTGCTACCAGATTTGTAAAAGGCAAAGTATTAAGGGGCAGAGTATTAGACCCGGGCAGGAACTGCGTGTATAGGATGAGTAACCAGGTATGCAGGGAGAAGTAAGGGTGGGCCTTTCCCTTTATTCAGGGTTCAATGAGTGGAATTTCATTTCCTTATCTTCTATTTATAATAAGGGCCATAGGCTAGGAGTATACAGATTTCTGTAAAAACAGGTTCCCCACCGAAACTTTGTGGCTTTAAAACTGATCTTGAACAGGTCCAGAGCCTTAGGAGAAACCATGTATTTAATTTTATTCCTTGAGAAGCAAAAACTATGGAACTCTCTTCAAATTCTGAACTCCTGATGCCAGACACAGAACATGAATGCATGAGTATTCTAGAGGAATTCTTTAAATTCTAGGCAGTAATTTATAGATTGATTTAGTAAAAATAGGGGTTTTTTTCAGCTTATAACTTGTACTGATGCTGCCTTTGTGCACAAACCTTTTTGCTTATTCCTCCCCACTGTCCTGTCCTTCAGCAGGTCTGGAGGCTTTTACTGTCACCTCTGTCCAGTCCCTCTGGAAGAGCATTCTTTCTTTCTTAACATCTGTGTGACACTAGACAACTGGTAAAGGATAGACTAAGGCTACTCAGCACTGATGAACAGGGATTTGACAAAACACACAAAAATAAGGTTAACATCTAACATGTACATGCAGATTTTGAAATGCATCCCATCCCTTCCGTATACTGAAATTCTTTAGAAAAATACAGAGTTGAGCTGCCCAGATTTACATATAACTTAACTATGTTATCTTCCTCCTTTTCCTTCAGTTTCACTAGTTTTATTATCTTTTTAGTTAATTTGAATGGAAATTTACAGGTTGGTTGTACCACACATCCATAAGACTCTGGTGCTCACTGGGACCTCTATCATTTCTCAGATTCAAAATCCCTGAAACCAGATACAGAAAGATGAACTCATTAGTATCCTAATGCAACCAATAATATTAAACTTTCTAATGGCAAAACCTTGCAAAGACATTTCATCACAATAATCTTTGATATGTCCTCCACTTGGAGTATTTTTAAAGCTTCTTATTGACATAACTCTGTTAAAGTGCTTTTCAAAGTAGTGCTCAGCAGGCAGGTGGTATTGTGCAATATATGTAGTACAAGCTCACATTACAAATGATTTGTCACTCTTAAAACGGAAACTGAAAAAAAGTATCTCAGCAAGGCTAATAAAACTATTCAGTGAGTCTGCCTAAGAAATACACGTGTTTGTTAGTATTTTGTCTATACAGAAATAGCAGCACTATATAAAACACAATTCTATGACCAGTTGGATTTGGATTTGTCTTTTTTTTTTTTTTGTGATGTTTATACTCCATGAATCAATATATAGGCCATACTTAGATACTAGGGCTCGGACTATGTTATTTATTTTCTCATTTATTTGTCTATACACAACTACCTATGCCATAGTTTTCATATACTACTCAGTGCATTGAAATTCTGCCGAATATTCCTTAAAAAATACTTTAAGAAAGCTGAAAAATAAACACTCTCTGGAGCAAAAATAAAAAACAAACAAACAAACAAAGCCAAAACAAAAACAAAACCCAACCAAACCGCCCCCCCCCAAAAAAAACAAACCCAAAATATTCAAGGTATTGAAGTGGAATCACTTCTTAGAGGATGTAACTGCCATGGGTTGCAGGGAGCAACACCATTTACTGCAGCTGGTAAATTAGCTCAAGCCAGGCTATACAGAGCAAGACAATATCACTTTCTTCCCACTTACACGTGATCTGATATGACTCAAACAACAGTCTTTTAATATAATTTTTTACAGATACCCTGAAAATTCTCTTGTATCAAAAACCAGTTTATGTACTCTTCTATATCCATTTTATATCCAACAGATCTACTTACCTATTCTTCCTTTCTCTACAAAGCCATTTAGTGATGTTTAGAAAAATGATGCGAATTTATTTTTAGAAAAATAACCTTTTTTCTTGTGTTCCCCACAGTTCATGCTTTGAGCCAAAACCTACCCTTGAATAACCACAACAGTCAGCAGCACTGGGAGGAATGGCCAGATAACTGACAGCAGAATTTCCCACTCTTAGGTTGGTGTAAAAATGCTTATAAAGCATCAGGGAGAGGGGAAGGAGAGGAAGGGCAGAGAATATTAAAGGGAGTTTCTTGGATGCTGAGCTAGGATGCTGAGAAAGCATGCACCTGCCATATATCTTATCCATTTCACTAAAATGATATTCAAAATCAGGCAATGCTGATATTCCCAGAACTGAAATAATAAATAAAAAGAACTCCCAGCTAAACTAATTATTATCACACTACAGTCTTTATATAATGTGCTATTTACAGGGAAATACAAAAAGTATTTCATTCATACAAGTACTACAAAGACTACATGTGATGCAGAACAGCTTTTACACTAGGCAAGGGTATGGAACCTGGAGTCAAAAATAATAGTGAATTTCCCCCCACTTACCAGTGCAACAGATGTTCAGTGCAAAACAAACTGTGTTCACTCCCTTTGATTTCAATGCATTTTCTCTAGAAAGCTCCTAACAGAGTCACAGTCATTTTTTCTATGCTCTCATCAGCAGCACAACAGCTTTGGTGAAGGAAAAACAGTGAGCTGGCTGCAGAGTGGGAATGCAGAGAATTGGCAAGTGTAGAAAAAGTGGAGAAGCTACAAAAATTTATTTTTCCAACAAAATAACTCTCCACAAGCTGTGTAAACTTTTCTTACTAAAACAAATACTCTAAAACACGAAGATTTTACATTTCCAGTGAAACTCACAGTAACATTTGCCTGATTTTACTCTCCTGAAGTCTCAACAAAGAGCCAGCAGATTTATGCTTTCCCAATTACCTGGGTCAGTAAATTCCCTCATATGCCCTGAATGCAATTTGGGTTTTTAACTTAAGAGACAGAACATAGAAATAGACTTGTTGGGCTTTTGAGTAACCTTTGTTTTCTTCAGTAGATTCTCGCAGTTTGCTGCCTAACGTGCACACCCACACAAACGCCAATCTACCACCCACCCACTCACATCCACACCTCCAACATGTGTGCTCTGTTTACTGACAGTAGAACAAAAATTAAGCTGTGCCCATTGCAAAATTATGACCTGAACAGAGAAGAATAATTTATAGTGGTAAGTTCATTAACTTTACCGTAACTTTAAAATGCAAAATTTGGTTTGCAAGGACAGCATATGGTATAAGAGTTACACCCTTTATCTCAAGCACTCATCCGTATTTACAATAAGTATAAGCTTTCTGCTACAGAAGAAAAAATATTTAGATTGAACACTGTTACAGATTTCCTAAGTGAGGCTAGTTCCAGTTGCCAGTAATTCAAAAGCAAATCTGCTGACTTGGCATTAGGACTCTAAAACAGTGTGATCAAACTTATATAGTAAGAAGGTGTCTGCAGAAATAACATTTATAAACTGTATATACAGTACACAGTACCAGTACATAGAAAATAGATTTTGACTCCATGATCCCCTGTGTGTAAGGCAAGACTGAATTCTGTCTTCATACGGAGACCACCAGAGGTACAAGCAACAGAGTGGTGCTTAAATCAATATGCAAATCAAGTGCATACAAATTAAAAATCAGAGCAGACAAAAAGTTTTAGATTTTTTTATGTGCTGATCCTGGCTTGCTGAATACATGGGAAGTTATTAAACATCAAATGTACCTTTTTTTTAAAAAACACTAACAACACCTTGATGGCAACAGATATTGTTCAAGTGGCAGCTACCAAAAACAGCTTGAAAAATGTCATAGTACAACATCAGGAACTCTTCAGTTGTACTACACTAATTCATATAGCACTAACCAAAAAAATAAGTATATGAATATTCTATTTCATGCTATTGCTATGCAAGCAACAGCAATACAAATCAGCATACAGAAGAAGGATACCATATGTTCTGCAAAGAAGAACCCAAGATATTTTCAAGGGGCATTGTTACAAGACTTCAAAGAAACACAAGACTGCCAGAGGCAAGAGTTACTGTCGGATGTAAACATCCCTGTTCCACTCTCCTGCATCGTTACGTTTTTTCGATATCACTTCCCCATCCTTGTCACAATATTGGTCCCTTGATTTATGACGGCTGCGCTGCTTGTTGCATTCATTGTGGTCCTGCTCGCGGTCCCTCTCCTTTGAGCGGTGCCGGGATTCTCTGTGTCTGTGTTCACTGATCCCATGGGACTCGTCTCTGTGATTATGATCCCTGTGAGAATCATAGTGGTCACCATGCTCATGTGAGTAGTCCTCCTTTGGCTCTACATAAGCTGAATCTCTGCTGTCTTGTGTTTCTGAGTCAAAAGTTTCTTGCCTGTGAAGGCCTCTGACACCACTGCGATGGTTGTGGTGCTGGCTGGAGGAAGAGCGGTGCTGGGATTTCTTGGTGGGCTCGACCCGTGCTTCCTCTTCAATGTGGGAACTGCTGCGCTCAGGGACCGAATGGTCATTCCTCTGGTCTCCTTGAGATCCCTGCTACCAGAACCAGCAGTAAGGTCAAGAGGTACACACTGGAAAACTTCCCCGATAACAAATTCAACTAGAAAGTACCATGAAACCGACCAAATTTAAGTACAAAACAATCCACTTTGAATCTAAACTAGGAAAGAAACCATTAGTATTCAATTTTTACTGAAAATTCAGTATTATAATACAAACAATTCTTTCTAGTCGCATCAGAATGGAGGGTGGCACTGGGGTTATTCTGTGGCACTTTCTCATTTCTTGTGATGTTTCTGACTACTCCAGTTAGCAATAATTGCCACCACCCTCCAAGGAAAACGAGAGCATGCAGAAACAGCACAAACTGCAGAAAAACTGAGAGGAGATCTCATGCCAGGAGAGGACATATCTCAGTTGAGAGTTTATAGATGCGTGTCTGGAAACAGCTGCTATGGGAAAGTGATTTTAGAGGGCTGAGGAGGTAGATTCCAGCAAAGAACCAAAGTACAAAACCTTGGCTCTTATAGAGTAACTTTTTTTTTAAGGAAAAAAAATGCAATTGAATCTGGTATGAATAAAGTTTGTATTATGATACTAATAGTATCACTGACCTTCTGTTTTCTCAGTAATAATTTCATTCCTTCTTGGTAATGAAAAATTAAACATTGATCTTAAAATTTTAAGAGCTTGAGAATACAGCCCATTGCCAAGAAAAGCAGGAGGAGAGTGATATTATCACATACAAAATTTCCTAACACACCACTGCTATTAAAAAACTGAAATAAAAATTACCAGGTAATAAACCTACTCTTCACCCGCATAAATGCTTTGAAATCACTGCAAAATGAACAAGTGGCATTATTTACCTCATTTAGGGGTTCCATTACATTAACCTGCTTTTATTGCCAAACCACAGCTAAGGACTTTTTAGAAATAACTGCAAAAATTTTAGTAGTTAATATTGAAATGTAATTATAATTCTCAGATGAGGTGAAGACTGTCAAGACAAAATCATCTCGGATGCCTCAAAATTAATGCAGATTTTACCAGAGTTGTAAGGGCATTTGTTTGTGATACCGTTCTGAATACCAAGGTTAGTCTTAAGTTTGTGCTTCTATGTTGAGAGTTGTCTAAAAATAAGGATTGCCCCCAGGGCAGCTCATGGACGTATCTTCTTTCTGTCTTTCTATTTTGTGGAAAAGAGCTAGGAGAAGGAGGAATTTTGTCCTTCAGCCACAGATCCTGGCAGGTGGGTTTCCTAGCAACCCAAAAAGTAAAATTACAGGAAATTGGAAAGGAAAATAATCTGTATTTAATCAGAAACTTATAAAAAGCAGCATATTTCAAATCAGCAATTTGGTAAATATCACAGATCTTAATTTTCTAAGACAACATTTTGTTACGTAAATTTCTGAGAGACAAGCTGGGTTTCTAATTTGAAACAAACGGTATAGATGAGAACAAAGTAACAGGAATAGCAGTCAAATTTCTTATTTGTTCTTGCGTTTATGATTCTCAAGATGATTCTGATTTGCCAGAAAGGAATATAATAATTGTAAACATGAATAGATCTGTTCAAGGTGAAATGACTCAACAGAGGTGAATTGTAAATGAAATTAAGTTAAAAGCAAAAGAGTTCAAAGCAGTGCCCGCTTTGCATGTGTAAACACAACTTTTATCAGTTCATCACCATGACTGGTTTTAAGGCATATAAACATAATATACATGTGAAACCCATAATAATAATATAATAATATATATAATTCTCATGTGTTCAAATGCAGGTACTTATACATAATCATGGCTAATAAAATCTGTCATTGCTGTGGTGAGAACAAATGCAAAATTTGAACCCGCATTGGAAACACTGCTACTTTTACAAGGTCAGAATGCATCTTCTGTGCTATGAAGAGCACATGTGAAAGAATACAATGAATAAATTTCGAACTAATACCTGCAATTCCAGAGTAGTGTTAGGGCTTTTTGTATCTATGGGCAAATTCATTGTCAGTAAATTTCATTAAATATTACAGGGCCACTGAACAGGTAATGTCTGAATCTGAATTAGAGTCCAGATTTTTGATTCATAACCAAATTCGGGCTCTGATTTGGAATAGATTCTTCAGTGCAGGAATTTTAGGGGCCAATTTCATAACAATTTTTGTCTAAAATAGAGAAAGTTTGAGATAATCCTATTTCAAAGAAGTAGGGGTTCTTGGAAAGAAGTTTAAACAATGTTGAAAGAGGAGAGAGAAGCCTTTGTCCACTGAGTGAATTTGCCTTGCTCCCTATTTCCAGTGGTCCCTGTTTCCCTGCACCATATGTGTGTGAGGTTGCTCCAGTCCTTTTGGTGTCAGCCAACTATTTCCATACAAGTTTGTTCCCAAGCTCTCCCTCAGGCAGACACAAGGTGTAATAGGTGTCTGCCTATTTCATTTCCAGCTGTCCCAGGAGGCCTCATGCCTTCAAGCACCTCGTGCCATGCAATGCACACAGGCAGCTTCATGCTGTAAAAATGCCCCTCTGGCAGCTGGCAACACAAATCCCTCCTTACAATGTACACTGGGGACTTAAAAACCACAAACCCCAAATATGTTTTGTGGCAAAGGGGCACTGCATTGGCCCCAGGGAAAGATGACTCCAATGCTCTGCAGTGCACATGTGGCTCCCCCAGACCAAACGACTGGTCACTTTTTCCTGCAGAGCAGTCCAGAAAAACGGCACAGACTTTAAATTCTCTAAACACAGGGTCTTAACACTGTTGAAAGAATGGGTTCAACCACCATCATTAAAAAACAGACCCACTCTGTGCCAAGGCAATGACAAGCTCAGGTCTGAGATGTAAGCAGAAGATGTACTGTAGGAAAATGATACCAAAGGAACAGAAAAGTTTTATGTTCCATAAGGCACCCCTGTTGATTCATACTTCTGTATTAGTAGACCTACAAACAAACCGTGAAACTGAAAATACACCATCATTTTTAGTCCTTAAAATAAAAATCTGTTAGTTTGTAAGGAGACAGCACAGCATTCAGAAAAGTGTTATTAAAACTCTGCATAGTTCCTCCAGAAAATGTGGTTAATACAATGAGTATGTGAGCCATAAATCCACACCCAAAAAGCATAAAAAAACTTGAGCAAAATAATTTAGAGGTTTACAAAGCAAAGAAAGTTTATCTAGCAAGGCTGCACACAACAATACTGAATTTCATACTCAGAAATTCTTCCAGCTCACATTTTTTTCAAGGTGTTTCAGCTCTGAGGACAGAAAAAAAGGCAGAAATAAGCTATAGCTTACAGTCTCTTTTCCTGCAACTGTGTCTGAAAGCAAGAGGAGATTCACCCTCCAAGATAGCTAAAGAAATTTTTCTTGTTAAAGAACAAACTTGTCAAGTCTGTGGTTTTCTAATGAGAAAGAAATTATTTGACATAAAAAGTTGTTTTGCAAAACCATAAAAAATGAGCACGACTTTTTTGCATTTTAATTTGGGTGCAGATACATTTTTTTCCTTTGATTACCCGAAAGGAGATATTTTTCTTAGCCAAAGTTATGAATTGTAACTTGCATATGTATAAAATTTATGGGCATATATTGATCTTAGGTAGAAATTTAGATGTAGTAAGCCTTTATTTGATCTGGGACAGATATATTTTATCCCCCTCTGTGAACTTCTCAGCCTCAAGGAGTCACTACGTATAATAAAGTAGTGAAATATTCATTTCATATCACGCAACACATATCCAAAGAAGAGCCTCCCCTTATGCTGAACACCTCAATAAAATTAGACAAACCAAAAGTCAAAGGAGAATAGAGGGGACATAATATGCCCATATCAACAGGCACATCAGTGCAGAGGCAGGAATAAAGCCTGCTTTTCCCAGAGCACAGGAGAGTGTTCTCACTGGTGAGAACAGAGCGTCCCTCAAGGTCTCTCTGCACAATGTGCAGTGCAGCAGGACTTGGATTTGATGTAAGAGTTTGGCTTGAAGGGAGTTTGTACTTTTCACAGCAATGGTCAATGAATAAAAGAACAAAGGAAACACTGGAAGGGCCACTTTGACCTTGAGTCTTTACTAATACAGTCAGTCATCCTCAGCCTCTACAACTCTACAGCCTATGGGAAGACTGGAACAGATTTCCCTCCAACATTTGTGGATCTGCCCTGTACACAGCCCAGTCTGTCATGCAGGGCCTCTGGGGCCGGGATTTGCCTATTAGCAATAGTGTGCCCATCAGTCAGAAAGTTACCAGAGGCTGGATGGAATGTGCACAGTCTTAGTCTAGTTTGATTTCTCTGACTGGATTACACATGGCCAGCTATAAAAATGCTTGTGGCTGGTACACATATTACTGGCACAGCGGTGTCCTGGGCACAATAAAACCTGAAGTATTCCATTTTACATCAACATATGTTTTCAGTCAGGCCAGTTTAGTCCTTGGAATCAAAACCAGCCCCCTAGTTAACACACAAACACATGCTACTATGAATACAATAGCATTAACAGTAACATGCTTGCATTTTCCTTTTACACTGAAAATGGTGAATGTCTACTGAAAAAGCTTTTAATCTATCAACAACAGGAAAAAATATTCAGCATATTCTAGTATCAGCCTAACTCTGTGCTTTGGAAGGAGAAGTTGACTGAAGAAAAAGAAGAGATGGAATATAAACTGTACCTGTAAATTAATATTTGGACCTGGGCTAATAGGAAGAGTGGCTGTTGCAAGTGTGCGAGTGAGAAGCTGGTTAGGAGGATTGCTGCTAGGTGGATGTGTGGCCTTCCAGTAGGCTTCCAGATAGTCAGCAAGGTGCTCACAAGCATCTTCAAGCTGGTTCTCATCAAGAATTACATCGAACATTTCCTGATAAAGGAGAGGTTTAAGTGAGAATAATCACCAGGTAGAGGGAGATCAGCTAGAGACATTGATCATACTTTCCATTAATCAAAAATGAACCACATTTTTAGACTTACATTAAGATATTTTACCCTTTTTTCACCTGTGCTTGTTTTTCTGAATGCAGTTGATACAAAAGACCATAACTAGCACTAATGTTACACTTGCTAAAGCAAGGCCTTGTGACTTCCACACAGGAATGCACAAACAGTCAAAGAAGACAGGGAAGAAGCAGCTTGAACAAATCTTAAATTTACAGAAAGAGCAGATAAATATTAAAGAATTAACTCCATTAATTAAGAATTAATTCCATTGAAAAAAATAGAATTGCAAGAAAGGGATACAATCTCTCTGTAGGATAACTATAAGAAAACTAAGGCAAGCTAAGACCAATAACTAACAACAGTAAGAATACAGATCATTCCATTTCCAAGTGTCATGTAAATATTAGGTAAGAGAGGAGTCACACAGTCTAGTTTTAGTCTTCTAAAGTTAGGAGGGGAGTTTCATCCACTTCTTCCCTGGTCAGGGAGCAGAAGGCAGCTTTGAGGGCCTATGCAGGTCTCCAGCATTCTTCACTGATTTCCTGGGGCCCTGAGCATTGCCTACCTGAGATGCTCAAACCTAAATGATGATGACATTCCCTTCACTCAGCTCTGTAACTATGGCAAATTATATCTGCAACTGAATTGTTCTCCCATCTTCTGGTTTCTTACCCATACTCTTCAGAGCTGAGTATGCAGGCAGCAATGCATGCCAGGCTTAAAACACAGTTGGGGTGTCACAGGTGTTATGTTGGGGTGTTATAGGTGGAAATTTAGAGAATTTGCTTCAGTGCACATCTGAAGAACTGCAGAGCTGCCAGCAATGCAGTACCACTCAGCTCTTTGCCAAAACCCTGACCAAGAACATCAGCAGTGGTGGGCTGTGCTGACAGATGTCCCAGAGGAAGCTACTCAAACCATTGGCCTTACTCTAAACTACCAGAGATAAAGTACAGTCACTAAGAGAGTTCTGTTTTAGACCAATAAGCCCCTAAAACTTATCGAGTAAAACAAATTTCAGTTTACTGAAGCACGGACTGTATCAGCACACATCCTACTAACTCATTGTGACCAGGACTCTTTTTCCCTGGCATCCTAGTGCAGAGCCCCAAGACCTCAGGACGTGTTCTGCAAAAAGCAATAGTTAAATATGGCCAGAAGAGGGCAAACATTCCCGAAAATTATGTAATGAACTTCATGCTTCAAAAGAAAGGCACCTTCCAGAGACAAGACATAAATTAACAGTAACTCACGGGAGGACACTGTGCCAGTTTATCAGCTGCCACCATCTGAACATTAAGGTGTTTGGCCTGAGATTTCCCTCGAGATTTTATCAACCTCTGTAAAACCTGTGAAACATAAGACATTAAAAAAAGTGAGCAGACTCAGACTTATTATACATATATAACCACTTAAAATGTTTAGATCTGAAACTGCTCACATGAGCAGAGCAAATTCTTCATTTACTGGCTTCAAGAACATTTCCCATGTTCCCTCATCGAGGATGTGCTAGTTTTCATTTACATCTAAATATCTCCTTTCCTTTACAAGCACTAAAATGTTCTGCTCCTGCCTTTTTTCTGCTTCTGGTTTCATTTGTTTCTACGTTGAATTTTTTAAATTGGTCTCCTGAGTTCTCTTCCCACAAATTCATTTTTCTCTTTCAAATGCCTCCAGACAAGGTCTGTGCATTATTTTTTTACCCACAGTGAAAGAGCATATTATCAGATACTAAAGCTGAGCAATCAGTCTGATACTCATTCAGTGAAAATCATTCTTTCATTTCCATATTATTTTGATTTAACAAACCATGAGCATTAATGTGATTGATACTAAAAAGTGTAATTCCAATTAAAAAACTCATTGAAGCTACAGCATATTTTCCAAAATAGGTTTTGGTTAACACTAGAGCTCAGATACCTTTTTGATTATTAATGTGTTGTTATTCAATGGGAAGCAACTCTGAACCTAAGTTAAAGCCCAAAAAAACCAACCCAAAACCAAAACCCCTGAAAGAACATGAAGGTATCTAAAATATTTACCTTAGGAGAAGAAATCTTTACGTATACTATAATGGGAGCCAGAGAGGTTTTGCTCAGTTGAGCTGGGTGGTTAATGGTATCAGCATCAAGCACTACCAACTGCAGTGTCCTGGCTAATTCAAAAATCCGTTCAATTTCACTTTGAACTTCAGCTGCAATGTAGAAAATTAGAGTTATGAAAATACTAAGAGGTGATTAGCTTTAAGAAATGTAACACTGAAGTAGACGGGTGTGTTGCTCTTTCTCTGGCTGGAGGAGTTGTTGTTATCCGTGCAGGTCCCTGGCACAGTAGGGTAATGAATACAGTGTTAATGAGAACATTTCACCCCTGTTCTGCTGCCCTTGCAGCCACTGCCTGCCTCTCTCACCTCCCAGCTCCTGCTATTCCAGCCTGGAGGGATAATGATAACACCTCTTACATGACCCCAGACCATGCATTAAGAAAAAGGTGTATGAATGCGTTTTTTTTTTTTTTTTTTATTTGCTGTATCAAATGGCAACCTTAATATGCCACAGATCTGCTACATGTAAATAATGTCAGCTCAGACTTCAATCTTACCTAGTAACCAGTTTGCTCAAACTAGAGTGCCTGAGATAGGCATTAAGAAGTACTGAATACTGTAATAGCAGAAACTACTGTTTTCCCATTTACTTAAACTCATCAAAGCTCTGGAAAACAGTTTTTGTTTTTTTTTTCCTACTGACCTCAGAATGGTACCATGTTAAAAATTTGGCTATTATGTGTAAAACATTTTTATAACTGAATAATCCAAATAATGCTATGGTATCCTCCTGACAATCTCAGGAGCTGTGGGAAGCTGATTTCCCAAGTGGAAAATCATCTTTTCTTCTGGTAGTGATGCTCCCAGCTCCTCAGCACCCTGTCTGATTGGCAGTACTTTCCAGGGCAAACCTCTCCAAGACAGATGGGCTGCATCCGCTTTCACAAGTGGTGTGGAAACTGTCTTCATTCCCCACTGAAACAAAACTATATCTTATAATAGCAAAATCATCTTTAAAATGAAATCACATTTTCCTGCTCAAATCTTGGTATCAGCCGATTTCGCAGAGGAATTAGAGAAGCTGGGTGATTTATGCAAGTCTATAAAGAAAGTCATTGGGCCAGACAAGACTAATTCATATAGGTTTCCCTTTAAAGGTTGTGCATGCTTCATGAACCAAAACTAGATTAGATATCTAGCCCATTCAAAGAAAATATTAGAAGACAACCAAAAGAGACTTAAAGGTCAAGAAGAGGTACCAAAAATTTAATAGGGAGTTTCTTGAAATTATATTATTGGCCTTTTATCTATTAAGCTTAAGTTTTTCTTGAAAACACAACCTATCTGATCTGGCTAGAGAGAGAGTTTTCTAAATCAAATCGTCTCTTTCAAGAGATATGAAGAGATTGATTTTTTTCTATCTTAGAATAGCAACTGAATAAATAAGGTACTATAAAAAGGTTGCAAAATTTCCAAGAGAGAGCAAGACATCCCAGTATTATTTTGGTTCCAAATCAATAGGTGATTGCTATGGTAATTTTATAAACAAAGGAATATCTAAATGGTCATTAGAATATCTATATATGATATATAGATATATATATTATATAGATGATATCCTTTATTGGAGGAGGTGGACATTGGTTTGGATTTACTAGAGATCACTTCCAACTGTTTGTGGTTGCAGTTTGGGTGAGGCACATACAATCAGTCTTTTACAGCAGTGAACATTGTGAGATGTGCATGGTGTGTATTGGAAAACAATGATGCATGCTTTGCTGCTGGTCAATAAAAGCACTGTGGTCTCGCTGCTGTCTGAATTAGGACCACATTTTTTAAGACAGAACTTCTGATGGTTCTTGGCACATTCCCAATTACATTTTCTACAACTTTGTCACATAGAGATACTGCTGAAATCACTGAATACCACTGTCTCAGAGTTTTAGTAGAAGATAGTCAATAATCTATCCCTAATTTAAGTTCAAGTGACAACTAGAATGAACATATCAGAGATAATTTGTCACACTGTTCTGATGATGAATTTAGATTGCTTTTCCTTTTTCAAACCAGGCTCAACACTTTAGTCAGTATAACAATATTAGTTAAAGTATCATTTTAAGGCCATTCCAGACTGCTAAAAACTCTTGTTCAAGACAATTTATAACCAGCAAAATCTGTCTCTATGCCATTGTATCATAATTTTGTCTGGGGAAGCAGTGTTTGCTACACTGCTCAAAGCACTTTTCTGCCAGTAGAGAACATATCTCTGGACTAGATTTCCTGCTATACTTTTTGAAATGCCCTCTGCCAGGGCAGAGTACACCTCAGGGTATGTTCTATTGTGAAATACACCCACAGCAATAACTGCAGGTAACTATGGTCCTATGAACCAATAGTTTCCACTTGAGTCTGAAAATGGGGAGAGATCTTTTTCATTGATGAAAATGTATTTCAGTATTATTTTTCTTAATTTGGGTATAGAAGAAAAGTTCAAGGAACTCCACTGAATGATTGGTGAACTAAAACATGTGCTTCTACCTCTCCAGTCAGGAGTAGATGGGAAAAATGCCACAGGGATAGCTGAAGAGGTCCTGATTTCCAGTACCTTAGAGTACTTCTTTAGCTCCTGGAAAAACTTCCATTTTGCTTGAATCTCCTTTAAATTCCAACTTTACAAGACTGTTGCAATTACTCACATAATAGTAGCTTCTCTTTCTAGATAACAAAGGCTTTATCCATTGCTACTGCTTTGATTTTTATTTTTCTTTAGCATTATCTCTCAAAAACCAAATTCTCTACCTGCAAAAATTCCTTCACAACAAGACATTAAACATGAATTTTCTCTCAGACTTTTGCCCAAAGTAAGCAAAGAACTCAAAAAGTCATGTGGGGATAGTAACAGAAATGTCACTGGTAATTAAAATAGGGAGCTGAGAACAGTGACAGTGGGGTATCTTCAAAGCAGTACAGTAATAGCTTTGCAATTTTCCCACCTCCATGAATACCATCTATTTATAATAATGCCCCTTCTTATCTACTGGAGAGGCATAAGAGTGAAGTTATAACACTAAACTCCAATAAACTGTATTTGCCAATCATGAGAGGCATAAAATAATTAGAACTACTGTGACAATCATCATGAAATGCTGACAGCCCAGCTACAACACTCAAACCCAGAAATCAGCTACCGAATTTTAAAGTGACCCTTACAATCTATTTCATATGGTCTCCTTGGTAACCAGAAAGTGAACATATTTTAAATGACAGGAACACTCAACTATATTCCATACAATAAGGAGTCAGCTCTAAGAAACAGTAAGTACACATCTCCCAGAAAACTTTAAATACAGCACATTTAAACTTACTTCCAAATATTAAATACCAGTATCACTACTGCACCTTGAACAGAAATTCAGTGGAATGAGAAGACAAGTAAATTGCTTACCCCATTTTGGGGCAGACAAATATTCTTTACACCAATTGGACCTCACAAGTGAATTCCAAGAAAAAATCTTTCCAAGTTCACTACAATAATCTCATCTAATATACAGGGAAAGATACAACAACATTTTATTTCTCTGTCAATTCGTTAATAACATGATGAACTGCAGTGGAACTTAGGGTTACTTATGTAATGCCATGGTACAGGAACATTCTCTATGTTACACAGCTGGAGTAACACAACCCTTCTGCAAACCTGGGCTGCATCCACAGCAGCCAGGAGTCACTGGGACACTCAGCCTGACAGAGCAGTGGCTATGCCAGCAGTTTGTTTCAGCAAGACCCTGATGAAATAGCAATTCCATGAGAGGGATGAGAAGCAAAATGGACATGCATCTGGCCTGCAAAGGCCCAAGTGAAGCACAAAATACTGCTTTGAGGCAGCAAAGAAATTTTGATCTTCACAAGGAGCAGTGAAATTCACATACTCTCAACTGAGCACAGTACTTTTACATCCTGTTAAATTTGACCTTGTCTTCTGTCTATGGTATCAGTGGCTCTGTTTTGTTCATTGAAACAGATATGTAACTTATGATTTCAACTGCAACAGGCACAGACACAAAGCATTCTAGTTTTTTTTTAAAAAGGGCTCCTGATATTACAGACACATGGAATGAAAAGAACACAACTCTGTCAATGTATGCAATACAAAATGATTAGCAACACCTTACATAAATGGCTTTGAAATAATTTTATAAATTAAGCAGAACAGCTATCAGTAGCCATTTTTTAATGCTAATTCTTTTATACAAACACAGTTGGTTAAAAATAATTAACCAATAAACTCCATGACTATAATTAAAGTAATGAGAAGTTTAACACAACCTTAGGATTTCCATAAAAAAGGTGAAGGAAAAAAAATGTAGTTTTTATCCCAGTGTCTCAAAACAATGTAGAAGGTCTTGCACCAAAAAAACCTGCTAGAAATGAGCACAGGTCATATCTAAAATCCAAGAAAATTAAAAAAGGAAGTGATAATTATTGAGCTGTGCCCATATAAGTCTCTAATGAGAACAAAATCATGAGCTTGAACGACAGAATTAAAATTTTTAATTTACATTTGTGAGCGTCTATGTGTATACACATGCTTCATATTGAGTGAAAAACCACCAATGTCTCTGTCCATGGGATACTGCTGTAAGCAGAAGGCAGGTCACAGCAGGCTACCCCAGACTGCACCAGGGATCTGTGCTCACTGGAAACAAAGCAACGAGGCCCAGAGGCTACCAAGGTGATCCAATAAGCTACAAGGGGTTTGAGCACAGCAGAGCAAGCTAAGAAGAAACCCCACACGTATATAATTGTTTGACCTCTTTCTTCTCATCTTCCTCTTCCCTCCCCTCAAGCAGCAGTGTTGGCCTGGGCAGGCAGGGAGCTGGGCAGTGTCCATTCCTTCCCAGGCAGGAAGGTTCAGTCCCACAGTCTCCAGGCAGGGTTAAATGACCCTCTTTACACCATGGGGTGTCTCAGTGCTGGGGAGCAGAATGTTTTCTGCCTCTGCTCCAGTATATCCAGCTAAGAAGGAAAAAGTCTTGAAAAACATCAGCAAGAGGGAATAAATGCTTTAGCTTAGTCCTCAGGCAACTGGTCAAAAGACGCCTGGATTGCAGGTGTTTTAATCAAATGTCTATCCTAAATGTAGTTTTGTG